CATGCGAATTTGTTCTCAAAGTTGACCAGTTCTCGAAGCCGTCTGCAGACTGCTTCCTGCATGTCTCAGGTCGAATCACTATCTTTTACATAGTTGACCGACTACAAACCTTAGTGCCTTTGGTGTTAAACTTGAGAGCATCATCACCAGCAGCCCCGGTGAGATGTTTGAGGCACCCAGGTTCTTGTGGCCTTCAACTCCTCGATCTCGATGATGGGTTACTGTGGATCTATCATTGGAAACAGTGGGGCAGAACATCAACGAAGCAACAACAGCCAGGTGTACCTTGCTAACCTATCTGACGGTTCCCGCGGACGGCAAGCAGTGGGTGGCTTCCTGCCGGCCACCGGCTCAAAGTACAGAGCAGAGCTCCGAGAGGCTCAACACCGGGCTTAAAGGGGCACCCCACGAACTGCGCGGTTGTCCACAAAGGCTAAACGTACTGACGTTCACGCACACTTGTTCGCCTGTCCCTGTAAGCACAAAGTCTTTGAGTCTTTGAGGTTGAGCTGACCTCCATCCTTGTCCCTGAGAACCTGCCGCAGCAGAGCTTCCAGTACCTCCTGGCACTTGCCTTAGCTGAAGGTGTACGGGCAACTGGCGAGGCATTTGGGACAAGGGGGCGGTGCCTCAAAGACGTTTACAGGTGCTGGTCACTTGTAGTTGTTTTTCCACATGCTTGGTGTGCTGCGGCAACCAAAACTGCGGAATTCGACACGGATCTCAGAAACAAGACGCAGCTCGGAGCAGATACCATCGCATGCTCTATGGACCACGGCAGCATAGCAGCAAGTGCAGCGAGCACTGGTGGGTAGCCGCGTCGACCCAGTCAAGCCATTCACGGCCCAACCTATGCGACTCCTGCTCGTGCACCCAAGATTCAGTGAGCGCTTTTGGCTTTGTCTGCATAAGTTACAGTTTAGGACAGCAGCTCTCGCTCTCTTTCTCTCTCTCTCTCTCTCTCTCTCTCTCGCTCGCTCTCGCTTCATTTCTTTTTGTCCGAGCAAAATTAGGGTCACACTTTCGTAAGTTGCTCGCACATGCACATGAGTGTGTTGCAGCAATGCAGAAGTGCTCAGGTCTACACCCGCTCGTCGCTAGCGGAGCAGACCACCCCCGCAGCGCAAGGATTCAATGCCGTGACCTCGGTTCAATCGGGCGCTGAAGCCGATGCTGCGTGCTTGGCGCCCTCCGGACATTTCGCGAGAGTCGTGGGCTTTCTGTTCAGGACACGTTTTCTCCAGTCTCGCAGCTCCAGTTCGTAGACAAGGCCAATGCACCCGAGCCTTTTGCGCGAGCGGTAGATGTTCGATCCTGGTCATGACGACATGGTATTGTGCAGTTCCCGCCTCTTGCATCTTAGTATGACGGACTGACATCGTTGTGGATTCGCAGTGCGCCAACTTGTTGATCAGACTCTTGATTTTCGGAGTGCTTCCAATAGTAGCAAAGCCAGGACTTGGACGGGTCACAAGTCGGTGGACAAGTCTCCTGGGAGCCACCGGAGGCTGGGCAAACGGAGTAGAGGTGTCAGCTCGTCAGTTCAAGACTATAGACCCAACACATCTCCCGCCATCGCTCTAGAGGGCTCGCGAGTGGACTGCCGCAACATACCCAACACGCCGCAATTTTCCCAATACTGCAGAAGCTTGCCCACACAATGACAGATGTTCAGATGTTCACTTACGCGTTCTTGGTTTTGCTTTGACTTGCCAGTTCTCCTGAGCCTTTCAGTATCGCTTTCGCCGGATTGGGTGCGGGGTGGCCCCGAAAGCAACGGATACCCACGCCCCTGCAAGCACCGGCATCGTCCTTGAAGCCAGGACCTTGCACGAGTGGTTCTTTATGCCGCCCTCGTCGTGTTTGGCATTTAATTGGGTGATGACAAAGGGATGCTAGGTGTGGGAGGTCCATCTGATTCGGGATTGTCGGGAGGCTTCAGTGCAGGATCATGCAGGGTCTCCTCTTTGTGGTGCGGTAGTGGCTCGATCAACATGCTTCCAGCAGTGTTTCCTTCATTTTCCTCCGGTTACAAAAGAAAAGGTCGTGGCCGACGCAATTCGTTGAAGTGTTGAATGTTTTGAGATGTATTTTGAGCATGTCTTCATGTGCAATCTAGTCACTGGGCCTGGTTTCATCTAAGGATGTCTTTAAAGCCCCTCCGTAAAGTTTTGGCGGGTGCGACCTCTCAGGTGGTAAGTTTTCACAGGACTTCGCTCCAATTTAGGTTTGCCACCTGAGAGGTCGTGTCCGGCCGTTTTGAGACGTCTGAGTGCTGCTTCAAGACAGGCAGTGTACCTGGCAGCCACCGCCACTGGAACAGGACGCGGGGTGTTCGGAAGAGCTCGTCAGATCACATGATTTCAGTCTCGGTGTTCCGGTCTCGATGTCTGTTACTGAGATGGCTTCAACGAGGCCAGGCATTTCCATCTATGCTCCGCAAGCATCGTACACTGGATAACTGTTGAACAAAGTGAACATCTGCAGTTCTGCCTGCCGGCACCTTTGTTCGGCATGCCAGTGCTGCACAAGCAAGGAGGAAGAAGCAGGGAGGACCAAGTTCCCGTAAATCCAACAGCTGAGGCTGAGTCGTCCCGAACAGGGTGCAAGGTGATGAGGAACATCAGGTCTCAACGTTTCGAGAGTTCCATGCTGCACATAAACATGTGAGTCTGGGAACACCTTGTTTCGTAGCCTGTATCGAGAGAAATAACATGCCACACGCTTTTCCGCCGAGCCTGCGCTTCGGATTTCCCGACAAACTTCGTAGCAACCGAGCGACCTCTTCGAAATAGAACCTCGACTTAGTGGGTACCTGAGACCCGTCATGGCATGACTCAATTTTCATGTCAAGGAAATGCGTCTCCGGCAGGTGACAAATCTTAGGGTGTCTGAGGTGCACAGACCGGATGAACAAACAAAGGCCAGGTCGGCTTGGTTTCCTGGCTGCCGGCTAGTCACGAAGTCGGATAAATGATCAGCAGTATGACCGTTTTGCTTATCAATGCATTGACTGCAGCTTCACAAGATGCTGCACACCAGAGTGCAGCCTGCAACAATCACGCATACGTTGAAGCAGGGTGGCCATGGCTGAAACCATGGGACGTGACGACGAGTCAAAGACATGGCACAGCTCCAACATGTCGAGTTGTTGCAAGAAATTGGCTACGATGCAACTTTCCGAGCTCGGCCGTGGCTCAGAAAAGGCATCGGTGTGCCGAGCACAAAGTTCAGCCGGCAGTGACATGCTGTCTCTTGCCTGCTGCTTCGGTGCCCAGCGTCGGCCGTTGGGCAGCTGCCACTACCACGCAGAGCCTGCTTGAATCTTGCCCTCCATACTCAGCAGTAATGCGTGCTGGCAATCCAGCCGATTCTTTTTGCCACTTACTCTTACACCCCAGAAACGTTGCCGATCCGCGCAGGAAGATCTTTGGTGGGAACGGCACCTGCACCTGCCGTCGCTACACCCGTGCCCGCCCCTCAGTTGGGGTGTTTCCGGCTTCAACCTAACAAGCTTCGCGCCACATGTCGTTTGCGGTTTTCAAAGAAGCAGACCGAGAAGCGACTCTAGCATGTTTTACAATTGAAGTTCGAGAGTCTCCCACAACTTCACAGGCGTCTGACTGAACCCATGGATCCCGCTGGAGCGCTGGTCCGAAGTTGCGGGTTCAGCTTTTAAATCCTTCGGCAAAGCCATGAGGCTGGACGTTCCCTTGGACACCAGTCTGGGTGCCAGGATCCTGGATTTCTCTCACACCGTATATCAGCTTATCAGCCAATGATGACCGAACGTGGCGGTTGTTCAATGCGAGCCTTAAATAGGCCTGCACTAAAACTTGAACGAGGGCGGTGCATGCCGAAACGAATGCCATCCGGATTGCATCACTCCGGCTCCTGCTGTGAATCTGTGACGCGGGGGTCAGCCAGTGGAGATCATACTAATTCATTCTTGTTCGTCTCACCTCATCCTCAAAGCTTCGAAACCTGTTTCAGCTACTGTACCAAATGCCTCACAAAGCCACTGAACCGAAGTCCCAGGCTTTCACACACGTTCTCACCTACAGCCAGTCCATTGCATTCGAGCAGAGCACGCCCGTCGCGCTGTTCTTCAATGACTCCTCCCTGCTGGCCTGCACGGGGAATCAGGATTAAAGTTAGGGTCTGTTGCGAGCCCGTCTGGGGTCGGTTCTCACTCCATTTTGTGTAGCGGTAGCAGACTTTGTTTGATCACTCTTTACTGTAAGACGATCTGCCCGGCAAGAAAGATTGGGGACAGAACTGATGGGCGGAGACGTCATCCCAAACTCAGCTGACTTCTAGGGAATTGCGAAACTGCGTCACGGAGACCTCAACCTGCAAAGATTCTACCAAGAACCACGGGAGGTTCAGGATCTTTCCTTCCTGGATCAAGACCTGGACGACCGGGAGATTGGCGGGAAGGTGCAGCTGTGATGCTGTGCATGTGTGGGGGTGCAGATGAGAGGAGGGTACGGCTGCTTGGGGATCGGTTCAGGCTGAAGCTGCTTCCTTTTTTGATCTTGATGTTCAGGCAGTGTATGCGTGGGTCATATACTGAAGATAATCTAAGCAAAGCAGCCGGACAGCCGTTCGCGCAGGAGTCGCGATTACGTACGGGAGTGCCTGGAGATGTTGCGAGAAAAGCATGGTGAGATCGTTCGCAGCAACCCGCCGCGCAGGTGAGCTGGACACCCCCAGAAGATCCTGGAGTTTTGGAAGGCACAGCAGAAAACCTCGAGAAGACAAGTAGCTTCCGGGTCTTTGCGCAATTTCTGCTTGTGAGTAGATGTGGCAATGCAATGCAGTGAAGATAGCCATGCCAACGTCAACGGTCGACAAGGCCACAGATGCCCTGCATCGCCTCATACCTTCGGAACGATCTTGACGGTAGTGCTCAGTGCTCACTTGCCAGCTTCACTGCATGTCCGCTTCAGATTTTTGCCGAGTATGAAGGCAGTGTAGAAGTGTGCAAAGACGCGCAGGGTATGTGGTCTACCTGGCCGCTCGGAGCTTGGGAATCCTGTAGCGGAGATGGGCCATTTGCAGCTGAAGCTGCTGAAGCTTGAGAATGAGCTGCGTTTCTCTTTGTTGGTTTTTTCCTCCTCCGCCGGCATCGGTCAAGCTTTCGGCGTCGCTGTGTTGCTTGGACCAGATTCTAAGTCAACCGGACCCCCCGCCTATGTTCTCCCCGTCTACCCTGAGGCCTCTGCCACCGGGGGAAGCCGGTCTTTGCTCGGAAATGTCACGGCCGGGTCTCAAGGGGTTCGGGCCGGTTGTGGTTCGAGGAGTTCGAGGATCAAGGCTATCGGTCGAGGCTCTTGATGTTCGCAAGAGTCTTTCGTAGCCGAGGTGTTGAGCTTGCCCTCACGCGCATCTACGGTAACTGAGGTCTGCTGCACTAGTTCCTCCACTTCTGAATGTTGAACCAGTGCATTGTATATTGTATGATTCGTCGTTTGCACACCTGGTGGAACGGGTTCCACAGTCACATCGCCCTGGACCCTGGACTACCGCACTTCGTGGCGATGCTAGCTGGTTGCTGCTAGCTCCCGACCGAAAACGCAAGAGACGCTTGCGTAAGGTTGGGGCCAACTCCTTCGACATCTCAGCTGACTTCCCTTTAGAAAACTACACCCACGTGCTGGTCTACACGAGGCTCCCCCTTTGGCAAGCTTTTGGCTAAAATGTGGCCTACTTGGCGGTGTTAACCGGCATGCAGAATGAATGCTACCACTGCCGGAGCTGTCGCTTCGACAAGCACAAGGACCTGTTAAATAAGCCTCATCAGACAGCAAGCCTCAGCTAGTAGGAGAAATATCTGTGATTGTTCGAGACATGGAGGATCAATGGCCGTCTCCAAAGTTTGCAGGTCGGACTTTGGCGAATCCTCCATACCAGAAGCAGTGCCAGTTGGCTGCAGTCGCGCAGTGATTGTCACGGATGTTCGGCAGATCCTGCAAGTTTGGTATGTTGGTGTCGGACAGGGCAGTTGTTGTGAAGGCCAGGGCATTCGCAAGCTTTGCCAAGTGCAAACCTCTGTTGCGACATGGTGTTCGATTAACGTGAATTAACTATCTCGTCTTCACACTGCCAGACTTGGCACCATTTCTTTTCCTCCATTGCCGAAGCCGGAACCACGTCCACCCCGTGAGCCCCTTTAGCCATTCCTGGGGTCCTCAGTCTCAATGTCAGGAGAAAGGCCACTGAAGAGGGTAAACATGCTCGCGGCAAGGGCATGTTGCAAGGACGGCAGTGTCGTGGCTGCTGTGTGCCACTCAGGCCTGTCGTCGATGTGTTCTCTCGCGTCACTGACCTCGACTTCGTGGACAAGGCAGGCTTCCCGGCTTTCTGGCTTGGAGTCTAACTTCTTTTCGTGGATATCGGTGGATCATCAGTGAATCATGAGACCACGTGCACTGGTGCATCAGTCCTTGAGTTCGGAATGACCACTTCAGCATGTTATGACTTGAAACATGCTCTTGCATGAAGGACATGTAGCCGTTCAGCGTACCCTGTGCTGTTTCGAATCAAGGTGGGTAGGTGGGTGGGTGGGAAAGCATGTGCAGATTCCGATACTTCTCCACAAATTTATTCTCGCCCTGCTCGCACTGTCAATGTACGTGTGTGTGCCGAGATGTTGGGATCGAGGGGTGGCCTCTCTCTTCTGTTATTCATGCGATTGTTGCAGAACCGAAGCTTGCCCCACTTCAAGAAGCGATAAGCCATGTGCGGCGAGTGTTTCTGTCATGATGTCATTTGGCGGTTTTTTGCATCACATGTGGCATTTGTTCTTTATGCGGAGGGTAGTCAGAACACAAAGTGTCTCGAATCTCCACGAACGGCAGAAGCATGAGTGCGAACGCGTGATACGCAGACAGTCACAGGTTGGAACTAGCCGCTAGCCTCGAGTTTTCACATAGTGGCCTTTCAGAAGGACCTCGACGCAGAGCAGCTTGGTGGATTCGTTCGCTGGATCGCACCGGCGGATGCGTCGCAGGTTCGGGCCTCAGGCCGATGCAGGCCCAACCCGTCGAAGCTCGGTGTTGTCGGTGTTGCTGTGCTACCGGCCTCACGAAAAAGGTTCTCGCACAGTGGCTAGTGCATCAACACTTGATTAGGTGAGTATTGCTCACACTCTTCGAAAGCAAACGGGGATACTACGGCGAGTGTGTGTTATGCCTGAGGTGCTTGTTGCTTGGGCTTTCAACCGAGCGAGTGCAGACATAGTGCAGCCACCTTGACAAGAGCTATTTCCCGTTACCTTGTTCATACACTAGAAGCGGATCCTCGAAATCTCTGCGAATTCCTTGCCGACCTGCTAGTGGTGCACTGGGCATCGGACATCCTCGCATTGTGGTTCAAACGCGTCTGTGCCCCCTTGGCTTGGGAGCCGCCCCGGCACTTTGAGAGCCTGTGCCCCAGTACTCAACAGTTCGGGAGTTTCCAGCCAGGTCGTTGGTTGCATCCAGTTGAAGACTTCAAGCTTTGTATTCAGGCTGCATGAGGATGATAGTAGCCGGAGATTGTTGTGTTTCGCTTCTAATTTAATGGGACCTGAAGGTTGGCTCTTACAGACACTAGCTGTGACGTGAATGAGGTGAAGATGTGTAGAGTTGGGGAGTACTGGGTTATTACGCCTAGGGCCTAGGCTTCCACAGGACAGTCTGGAGACTGTATTCCACGATTTCGCGGTGCCTTTTCTGCTGCACCAGGTAGATTAAGGGCTTGGGAGGCTTTGGTCGGCGCAGGTGGCAGTTGGGTCTTCCCAGTCCTGTGTGATGTCTGCAGTCGCCACAGGCAGAAGATCAAGAGCAGCAGTCTACTTACAGTTACCATTGCATGTTTCACAGTTCCTCAACTCGCGTCATGGAGTACCATGCTCGGAAGGCTAGAGGGCCCCCTCAAGCCGGAACAAGCTTCATTGGCAGGCCATGCCGGTGTTGCAAGGCGGCGATTGGGCTCGGCCCCCAGAATGTCAGGAGCCTGCAGCCAAGATGCGGCTGCTGCTGGCGCAGCTGTTGCCAAAGCCGTAAGAAGACACGAAATGATGCCGCGACATGGGCTGTGGTTTTGCAGGAATCACTCCTGCTTTCCAGCTGGACTGGGTTTGATATTCCGCCTCGCCGGACCGAGTACCACATCGAGGGGGAGACCCCCGCGCAGCTGAAGGAGCCTGAACAAAAGGTGGGTGGGCTTTGCTCTCACGCCTTCAAGTTATCCAGGGCTGCAAGCAGGACGGTTCCTATGGAGAAATGGGTTGGCTGTTGAAGGGGATGCGGGTGACATCGTTGCTGCTACATAGTGCATCTGTTTTGAGCGTGTAGCTAGTGCATCTGTTTTGAGCGTGTAGCTGCAGTCCACCTCCCAGACATGGCTGAAGCTGCAAGAATATCAACATGCCCTGGACAGTGCAAGCATCAAAACCGCCCTGAGTGAAGTTCCGAAAGCAAAAGAGTTGTTGTCGTCAGCATTCCATTGCCATTGCGAGGCAAGGTCGAAGTGTGCTGCGAGAGTTCGGGATCTCTTAGGGCTTCGGACGATCGCCGCACGTCCACACGGACCGATGTCTGTAGCACTGCATCCGGCGGTAGGCAGAAAACAAGCCCGGACATCGCCCACTGGGCTCCTACAAGCTGCCGACACTGGGCCTATATGAAGCGTAAAATCTACAGAAGTCTGCGTGCCTTCGACATCCTTCGACACTGCCAATCCGGCTCCCAACCGCATACCGGGAGATTGCAGCTCTTCAACGCAGTAGTGAAATTCCGAAAGACCGAGCTTTGGCCTTTCGTTCGTTCTGAATCCAGTTGATGCAGGGTCTTCGAGGTTGCTCCTGGCCCAACTTGAAGTCAGATTTCCAGGTTGTTGCAAGGTTGCCTTCCCCGTGTCTTGCAGTTTGCTGGGCACAGCAATCAGACAAGGTTCTTCACACGATTTAGAATCACGAAAGCGGCAATCAATGGTCCTGGTACTGATGACACCGTCATCCATTCAGCATGTTGCCCCCCCCTGCACCGACTACCTCCCATTTTGTCAACTTGACTTTTGCGTGGGCCGGGAGCTCGCTTCCCCACGAGGTTCACAAGCTCTAGTGAAGTAGTTGGTTCAGTCAAGCCTGAAAGCCCAAGCTGCACACGGCCATACCGTACCTTTGCCCCAGACCTGGCAAAGGCACTGCACTCTGCAATAACCCGAGCGACAGGGACGCATCGCACCATTGAAGTTTACTGTGATGTGCCCCGGCGGGCAGCTGGAGAATCCCTTTGCAGCCCAGGAAATGGGTTTATCACCCGGAGCGAGCCAACCGCAGGCCGGATGTCTCTCACATTATCGTTCGCTTGCTGCTCTTTTCTGCAATTTCCTGTCTACTGCCCTGTCCTACGTCAAGGCTGCTACTCAACTTCCCAAGGGAAGTCCTGGCTTTGACATAGAGAATCCCAAGACTTCCCTCCGCTGTGACCAAACATCAGCTATGACAACCTGCACAGGATTGTCATCAACAAAGAGGACTACTTCGGAATGGCAGCAGACGGCCTCCGCAACTTTGATCTGTGGAACGTGGCCCACGTCGCAGCAGCCTCGGTGGACAGCGGTCGGCGACCCGATCCCGGAATGGATGTGTTCCCGTGTTAGTCCAAGCTCGATTTCAGCACGTACAGTATTCCACATCGAGCTCGAAGGGAGGAGTACGGCAAAGCCTAACAAAAGCCTCGTGGAAGCTGATGCTGTCGCGGTTTACCTGCTTTTCAGCATGTTTGTGCAGCGAAATCCCGTTGTTGCACACAACGCCTGAAAACAGCATTGCCTGCACAAAGGCAGCATACCACGACGACTTGAAGCTCTTGTCAATGGCCATCGCCTCAGGGCCTCAGGGCCACGACAACAGAGATGGACAAGTCTGCACGTCCGATCTAATATCTAAATACCGTGGAGCTCCAAGCGTTGCCACAAATCCGCGTGCTAAGCCCGCGCAGCCCCAAGTAAGTGGATTGGAGTCTTCATCCCTTGAGAAAAAGCTTCCGAAACCTTGCCAGCCTTCCAGGCCACGCTTGAGCAATGCAAGGAGCCAAACAGGCTGGAGTAGTGGCTGATCTCTAAGGGTGACGCTTGAGATTGGGGTGTTCGACTCGACTCTACATCAGACAAAACAAGTCTCGACATCACGTGCGTTTTTTGCAATGTCTAGACTAGGGTGAGTAGCTTTAAAGCGTCGTCTGCCGAGCTCAGCTGTCCAACATCTTGCAGACTTACGGGGCATTGCAGTGCAACCACTGGCCTTGTCTTTGAGCGGAAGTTGTGCGTTGTTTGTTGTCTGTGGCGGTTGAGGAATTCAAACTCAGCAGATTGGGCCCGCACTAATCCTGACCCGTGCGAGGTGGGGAATGACCCCAATGCACATGACTGGCTTGGGACAACATCCTTATGGCACCACTGGCAAGGATTCTGTCGGCGGAAGTGCCAGAAAGTGAAGTAATTAAGTATTTGCTCAGGATTGTGGAAACTGTACGCTGGTTTGATGCGGGACATCATCATTCGACAAGTGGTTCTTTTGCAAAGTGCCGAAGCTCCGGGCTCACAGCGATCGGAAGCTGGGAAGCTGCTCGCTGCTTCATTGTATACATGCAATCAAGATCTGCACCTTGGCAGGCCCCTCGCTTTGCGTACTCTGGGAGCTAGTCCAGATGGGTGCAGCAGACCCAATGGCCGGGACCCGAGCAGAAACTCGACACAGTCAGAGGAGGCCAGCAGCAGGCCCAGCTTGGTCTTAGGACTGGCAGCCGGCTTCGGAGATGGCAACAGAAGCAGTAGTAGCGGTTGTCGTAAGTACTTTGTATGGCCCTCAACGGCGATGGTTAGAAACACTGTCTTGAGCATCGCGGCAAACTACACAAATCGCAAGGCATGGTAATGGCTGAGCATGGGAAACACGAACGCTTCTTCCCGACTCGCCTCAGGGAGCGTTGCGTTGAAATGTTTGCAGTAGACGAGTCGTGCATTGTGACTGCACATCGCTCCAAAGTAACGTAGTACGCGAAGCGATCCTCTCGTGCTCTTCTTTGTGAAGGTTTGGAGATGGCAGGTTTTCTTCGAGTAGCCGACTCTTCATGTTTCGCCAGCCTTAGACTAGAATGCCCCTGGCTTCTCGTTGGGTTGCCGGGCATGGGCTGTGCTGACTGCATGCATGGCCGGTCAATCCAGCACAATCTAACAACGCCTTCGTCAATCAAACGAGTTTTTGATTCCAGCATAGGCTGTAGTTGCATGTCATATTTTTTGCGAAATGCTTTAGCGACGTTGCGAGATCATGTCCAATTGCTTCAGGCCCTGAACTCCGCAGACCAAAGTCCCTGGCACATCGCGCAGCGGATGCAGAAGCCCTCCCACCTGAAGAAGTGGGAGAAGGTGCGACACTTCGAGTTGACTTGAAAGTGTTGATGTGAGCTTCAGATTTTAAGGATGACGTTCAAAGGCTGTGTGGCTGCAATCTTGGATCACCTCGTATCTCAGTCACCATGGGCTGTGCCTGAGCAAGTCATTCATAGGCGTGGGAGTACCCACAGCACCTGCAGGAGGAGCTGTTTCCTTTCGTTTCCTCTGGTACAGATTTGTTGAGGTCCGTCGCGTGATTAGCGACGTCAGGCAAGGGTGGTACATGAACCCTCTACAGCCTGCCTTTTCTTACTCGAGCACATCTCTCAAGGTTTGTTTGTAGTCTTCGTCTTATGCGTAGTCTTGTCCTGCTTGTAACATGACAGCATGCATCACCTTTTCTTACGCAGGATGGCTTTTTTGAAGGTTCAGGCTTCGCAGGCCCATGCTTTAGACCTCTGGTGGCTCTACTCGGAGAATCTGAGAACGGCCTGAAATCGATGACTGCAGTCTACCGAAGCAGTGGGAAAACTCGGCAAACTTTCCGAACAGAATCAGAACCTAACAAGATTACCTTCCATCTACATGTTCTCCTCACCAAACTGGTGCCGGTGCGAACGGAATTCCGCCCACGAAGATTTAGAGAACAATTTCCCTATTGCGAGCGCCCTTGGGGGGCTGTGCCAGCTTCAGCATCTTTTTGTGCCAGCAAGCCCCCACCGCTTGTCC